ATGTGTTCACGGCGTGCCTGAATGCCGGGCCAGCTCGACCAACAACGCCCACACCGACCACAGAAGCACCCAACAGCATTCTGAGCAACGCGCGAGGGTTACTAAGTGTCGATAGTCTTGTCACTCAAGCATCGCCCGTCGCTGACAGAGGTCGGCAGCAAGGCCTCGAGGGGAGCCAGATGACGCTCAACACCCGTAATCTCCTATGCTTGCGAGCGCTCCTCAACCTTGGCATTGCTCTTGGCCCGACTCTCGGTTCCTCATGGCGTATCATCCTGGAAACCTTACAGCAAGCCGATTTTGTACTATTCTCCACGAGTAAGACTCCGGGCCGAACGCCACTCGCAACGAAGGGAACAGATCAGCATGCGGAGGGCGAGGCAAATGCACTACTCTCCAACTTTAGCAGTGAAGTCCGCGCTGTTGAGACGGCAGCATCTCGTCTGATTGAAAGCACTATTGACTTTCCCAACGACGCCTTTGCACAAGTCGTTGAGGCGGTTTGCGACCTCTTAGAAAGAGCAAAGGAAGATAAGCCAAAGACAGAGAGTGCAGCGCAACCAAAGTCGCCTACATCAGGAGGCATGAAGCCGTCGCAAGCAGGCCAACATCGTCGGGTTCTCAGTGTCTCTACAGCAGCCGCCGCAGGACCGAATCAGGAAGACCACTTCGCCCTGGCCAAGTTGGGTGATATTGCCACAATCAACATCGATCGCTTGCTTTCTTACTCGCCAGACATATCTGGATGGACCCCCCTGACTTCCGAATTGATCCATATCATCAATGCGTCTTCAATGAACGCTTCCGTAAGGCTGCGAGCGGCAGAAATTCTCGTCAGACTGGCTCTTGATGCAGCCAACATTGCGGCCACGATGGAGCGTGAGCAATGCGGTCAGGTCCAGTTGCTTCTCCTTGAGGCTCTCCGCGATGCACTCTTGCCTCTGCAGCAAGAAGATAGGGAGGTCACCGTCGCCAGTCATAGCACTGACGTCGAAATCCACAAGGTTGTTCTAGAAGGATTGAAGAACCTACTTGAAAACTGCGGCGAGACACTCGTTAGCGGATGGGAGATTGCCTTTGAGATTATCGGCTCCATCTTCATCAACAAAAAGTTCGCCACTGGAGAACGTCGGGGTTCCCAGACGAACGTTCTCATGACCAGATCAGCGAAGCTCGTCCGGTCTTCTTTCAATTCTCTTCAACTCATCTGCTCCGACTTCCTAGCGTCTTTACCGAATTCCTGCTTTCTCATCCTTGTCGATACCCTTTACAAATTTTGCTCACAAGATGATGACCTCAATATTGCATTAACGGTACGTTGCAAAGAGTCAAGTCTTTCGGACCAAGCTAATACTTTGTAGACTGTCACATTTTTCTGGGTTCTGTCAGATTTCCTGTCCGGCAAGACTGAGACCCTTCCCGTCACGGCCGACCTGATGCAGGGCTCAAGTATATCTGATCTGGCAGCCTTGGCTGCAAATTCGGAACACATCGCTTCAGACGCTGCCCTTTGGATGCTGTTGCTGTTGAGACTCACGACGGTGACAGCCGATGGACGACTCGAGCTACGCAATAGCGCGATTCAGACCTTGTTGAGAATCTTTGACGCGTATGGCGATAAGTTGAGTCCAGAGGCATGGTCCACCTGCGTCAAGTCTGTGGTTTTCAAGCTTCTTTCATCAATAGAGGAAGAACTCCAGGCCGCCGCAACCGACAGTACCACCCTGCAAGACCGCAGAGAGTGGCACGAGACAGCATCCGTTGTCTTGACCGGTATTTCCGAGCTCCTTACGACCTACATGGAGACCCTATCCATGCATTCCTCATTTAATGCCCTGTGGCAAGAGCTTCTTGGTCACTTTACTACTCTACTCGATTTTCAGGTGCTCACAATCAACACGGCCACGTACAAAGCACTCGGCAAGGTTATCAAGCTCGACTACGATCCCGGCAGACCCATTTTTGACACAAACACTGTTAACGCGGCATGGGAGCTGTGGTCTCGGGGTACGCCCGTCTCCCTGGACGAAGAAGATGGCAAGAAGGCAGACAATCAAAATTGCTTGATTGCCTACGTTGCGGCATTCCACGATGTGTACCAACTCGTCCAGCAAGACCTGACGGTGGATCGGGTTCGCCAGATGTTGACCCTCTTCCGCGAGGCCCTGCAACAAGCCACGGTGGGAGCCTATGTGAATGACATTGAGTATGTCACGCCGCTGCAGAACCAGGTCATGGAAGCCATCAAGATGGTACGAACAGACCTCGCCGGTGTGCCCTCGGCCATGATCTCCCAGGTGGCCGAGTTCGTCCGCCTAGCTTTCAGCGACGAAGCACTCAAGGCGCAGAGCGCGACTCAGCGGAGAACGTATGTGGCCATGTCGAAAGCCAGTATGTCCATCCTACAAACCCTTATCCTACGCAACGCATCCGACGTAGATATCTATGCCAGCAAGGCTTTCTCCTCAGCCCTCTCGGCGCTGTCCAAGCCCGTTGTGCTCAAGTACGGCTTCCCAATCGTCACCAAGTCAGCCCAGCCGTGGCGTCTCGCAACAAACTCGATTCTCGCCATCTTGGAAGCCACGCTGCCACAGATCCGCGCCCTCGAGATCTCCCGCTCGACACTTCAGGACATGTGGCAAATGATTGTCGGAATCGCCGACGGTATCGTGAGCGCGGACACCAATGCAGCGCCTTCATCAGCAGACCTCTCGGACGACGAGTCCTTTGACATTGCATCATTCCACAAACTTCGCGAACTCATCATCCCATCCCTAGGAGCCGAGGCGATCCCAGACAAGACCCGCAAAGCCTATGCCGAAAGCCTCTTCCGGACCTCCATCATCCATGACCCCTCGCCGACCGAGTCTTCCCTCCTCTTCGGCTCCAGCAGCGACGGCGCCAACGGCCTCGCAGCGCTCTACAAGAAACGCACCGGCCGCACCTTCGACCCGCTTCCGACCCGCCGCGACCGTATGGCATACGTCTGTGTCGACGAGCTCTTCTCCCTTGTCTCAACGTACAACGTCGAGAGCCTGCGCATCGTCGTGCAACCGCCCACGCCCGCGTTCCCGCCCCCGCGCTCCGCGACCTCGCATCTCTCAGAGGCGCCGCAGGCCCTGCACATCCGCATCGCGCGCACCGTCGCGCCCTTTCTAATCCTCCGCGCGGCGCTGACTGTCCGGGCGTACATTGCCGACCAGCCCCTGCGAGGCCGCATGCCGCAGCCGCTTTCGCAGCGAAAGGAACTGTTGCGTGTGCTCCGGCAGCTGGTCGACTTGACGTCCGAGTCGGATGCTATCCCCAGCACGCCCAACGTCGATAGCGAGGGAAGGAAGCATCTACTGCGGCTGTATCCCCTCCTCGTCAGCGCCGTGCAGGTAGCGGGCTCTTCTGGGGACGAGGCGGTGTTGAAGCTCTGTGTAGAGGCTCTTGAGGTTGTTGGCGGCGAGCTGGGTGTTTAAAGGAGTCATTTATGCACAGCTGCTCTGTTTTCAATGTATCATTACCTACTTTACCTATCAGACAGACATGACCAGCACATTGTAGATCGTTATTGCGTCAAGGGATATTATGGGAAACTCGTGCTTAGCGGTCCATAGAGCATTATCGTACAAATCCTACTCGGGACGCTATGCGCCGTCGCTCTGTGGCTAGAGGACAACCTCGCAACAAACATTGTAAACAACCGGAGCAAATGGCCCGTAACCACCGTATGGCATACAAGAGGCAAGTCGCGCCCCTGTCGAGCGTACCACAACCAGAGCCTGGAGGCAACAAACTACCATGCACACGGCAGCCAGTAAGCCGTACGAGGAAAGAAAGGAATAAGCAAAACCGCAAACAATTAGTGACGGCTCTTCCTCCGAAAAGCCCCTTACCAGTGCATTTCCATCTCAGTCTGTTCAAATTTCACCCCAAAGACAGTGGAATGCGTCTGGGTGGGTTGTCAGGCCATCGATCTCATCCGCTGATCAATTCTCTCTCATGGTCTCTTACAGTTCCGCTGACACCATTATAGCCAGTATCTGGAAACGAAGGTTCCAAATGTAAGCTCTTGAGCCATACAAGGCCGACTCAACACGTGCAAAGATTCACCCACCGCCCCCTTGGGTGGTATGTAGTATGTACAATACAAATAGAACAATCCCAGCCAACAAAGGGCAAAAGGAAGCAAAAACGAGAATCGGACCCCAAAAAAGCCATATTTTCAAAACCGTGTAGGCATTTCATCCCGTCTGCTCCTCCCCCGCATACGAGGGGGCCGAATCCCACCGGTTCCACGGCCCGTCCTCTCTCCCCACCCCCCCAATCATTCCCAATGCTGACTCCTGAATCCTTCCGTGTCTACCTCCAACGCCAAGTAAACGATGCCTGCAGGACAAACAGCCTAACGCCCCCTGCGTTTTTTCTCACCAGAGAAATTCCCACCAATTCCCCTCTCATATCCAGAGACCTCGTACTATGTAGATGCCGGCACTAGCGCTTTCTCAAGCTCCATTAGGAAATCCGGGGGAATATAGGGTTTAGAACTTTAGTCTCCCTGGGGACGGAGGAGGGCCCCAGCCAAGACAGTAGTAAAAGCTTGAGAAGGAAGTGGCTTTTTTCTTCTTCGTTTGTTTAGACAGACATTGACAATTGGCCACGGCAAGGGAGGAAGTCAAAGTTGGTGATGGCTTCAGATTACCGCAGGGACTCCGTGAGGGGGTCCGCCACGCGTTGTGTATAGCCTACTTGTAACTAACGAGAGTAATTGACAAGACATCACTCGGCAAGATACCTTCCATCCGTAGTAGGACATCAGAGTGTCTTGTGTCGCGATGCCTCTGGTATCATGAACAACCCCAAACTTTTGGGCCCAGCCGATGCTAGACCCGCATTACATCCACCACCTAGCCCTGCTAAAACCATCCGAGTGGCAATACAAAAGGACGCATGTTTTTTTTTCTTCGGTTTCTTCTTTCATTTCCTGGCGGTCACTGCGCAAGAGATCGAACATTCTAGGCAGCCGTCTTCTCGCTGTGCGCGGCGCGGGTATTGATATCTTCCTCGTGGATGTTGGCATCAATCTCCTTCTCGACCTGGGTGAGGTCGACGTGTGCGACAGCGTCGTCACCGTCAAAGATCTTGGCAATCTCCTCGAGGGTGGGACCCTTGGTCTCGACGTAGAAGAAGTAGACAAAGATGAGCTCGCAGAAGTCCCAGAGGGTGTAGAACAGCATAAAGTTCCAGTGGTTGGGGAGCTTGTCCCATGCGACCTTGTTGGTTTGGCTGATAGTACGGTTAGCTGAGTAGTCAGGTACAAATGGAAAAAAGGTAAAACGTACTTTCCAATGGCGAGGATGGCCTGGACGGTAATGTTCATGATCATCATGCCCTTGGCACGGAGGTGGAAAGGCAAGACCTCAAGACCGTAGGCAATGAGCAGGCCGGAGAAACCAATGTCGTAGAAGATACCAAAGATCCAGATGAAGACGAGCTGGGCGTAGCCAGAGCCCTGGTTCGTGTTGCCGGAGTTCTCGAAAACGGCACCGGTGATGGTCCAGCAGACGAACGATGCGACCATACCGCTGATGGCAGTCAGGAAAAGCGGGCGACGTCCAAAGTAGTCGACGGTCAAGGCGGCACCGATGGAGCATGAGAGATCGAGAATGGACTTTCCGGTCGAGATGGCAAGCTTCTGGTTCTGCTCGGTGATACCGGCACCCTCGTAGATGGCGTCCATGTAGTTGGAGAAGAGGGCGTTTCCAGAGTACTGGGAGATGATACCGAGGGAAATGATAATCGCCAGACGCCAGCGGTTTCCCTTGGTCTTGAGGAAGTCGACGTAGCTGGTTGTCTTGTCGGCGTTCCTCTCCATCAAAATGGTTTCCTTCATCTCGCGGAATTCGAACTGAACAGTGGCGTTGTTCAAGTCGCCGCCGGCATGGTGCTTGGCCAAGACGGCCAGAGCTTCCTCAGAGCGGTCCTTGTTGATGAGGTAACGCGGCGACTCGGGAACCCACCAGATGCCGATGAGCTGGATGACGGAGGGAACAATCTGGATGAAGGTGATGGATCGCCAGCACCAGTCGTTGTTCACATATGATGTTCCCCAGCCGATGGAGGCGACGATCAGGGCCCCCAAGTTCCAGAGACAGTTGTAAATCTGTTGGTTCATATCAGCCCTTGCTCTGGCTTTGTAAAAGGTTCGTGTCTGGTGTTCGAGGCTAGATCGAGAAGAAAACCTACAGCAGTGACGGGACCACGGTGTTGAGGGTGGCAGATCTCGGTCAGCAGCAAGGGAGATGCCATCTGAGCAAGTGAGTTGCCGAAACCCAGAATGAATCGACCGCCGATGTACACTTAAATGACAGTCAGTCTCTTGTTTCAACCACTTAGAAAGAGCAAGAGATTTTGACTTACTTCCCCAGCCGTTGCAGAAGGCCGTGACGGCACCGCCGACGATCATGAAGCAACAACCGCTGACAATGGCAATCTTACGTCCAAAGTTGTCTGCCACGTAAGGTGTGATGAAATACGAAACAATGGAACCAATGTTGAACATGTTGATGAGGATACCGAGCTTGTTGTTGTCGGAGACGCCATCGCCAAAGTAGTCCTTCCATCGCGACATCTGCTGAGAAGTGTTTACGAGCATACCATCGTAGCCGGTGGTGGCTGAAGCGACCATGAGGAAGATGGTCGAGAAGTATAGCTTGCGAAGATGAGGCTCTCTCAGCCAGTACACCTTTTCGAATCGAGGGGCCTCGGCCTGCGCGATGCCGACGTTGTCGGCCACTTGCCGGGACATAACGGCCTTCTTCACCATCGTGGCGGTGTTTTATGGGTTACTTCCTTAAAACAGTGATGAAGATTATCTAAAGAGAGGGATAAGGGAGGGTGTAGAAGTTGACTGGCCGACTCGCGGGTGAAGAGGAAAACGATCTGTGAACGGGGAGGTCAGGGTAGAGGACTTTTATGTCTTTCCTCACTTCCCGACCCCGGGTTTTCCCCAAGTAGGGTGGAAGCATTGCAATTGTCTCGATCTGCACGGCTGCTGACCCCGGAGCTAGTTTGTTCACCCCCATTCGGACGTGCCCACCCCCGTGAAGGAAGCGTCTGGGTGAGGCGGGGATGCATCAGGAGCAGGGATGTGCGGCGGCGACGGCACGAATTGGCGGCACGCGGGTAAAGATGTGCTGGATGATTGGAGTGGGCGGCCCCTCTCCAAAAAGTCATGAACAGTTTGACCGAATCTAGGTCTCGAGTCTCGACTATGTGAACGGGCGCGGTCGCGCGTCTCTGCCTGGCCTTTCGGGAAAGCTGAAGCAAATCTCAGGTTGCTCGACATAAATCCAGACAGGCCTCAGTGTGCGGCACAGAAACACACCACCTGGTATCGGTGCAAGTATCGACTTAGATTCCAGGGTCTGCTGTCTTCTGATTCGTGGCCCGGGCCTGGTTGCATTGGGGAATAGATATTCAACACACCATTCATGTGCCACGCGAGTTAGCCAACTGTTTCTTGCATGCAAAATGGCCTTTCAAAAGACTCATCTCCGTGCCGTTTACGTGACACCCCGACTCCATGAACAGGGGTATCGGGAGACTTCCCCATGGGCTGTTCTTGGAAAAAGCAACAAGATAATGTTGGTGCTCATACCGCATATTGCCATAAACGTTCTGGAGTTGCATTCCGTGACCTGTTGGTATTAGGACCCCTAGACCGTACTCTCACGAGGATAAACGCAGCTCGCCCGGCCTTGTACCAGGCATCTCCGGTCCGCCGGTTCATCCCTCGAAGCTAGAGCCTACAGCCCATCATTGAGACTGCACCCTGTATGCAGTTGGAATTGGTTCAAAATGCCCACACAAGTGACAATTACTAGTTGGATTCCAACAGACTGGTAATGCCACCGCAGCAATGAAGCATGGCAGCTGGCTAGTCAATGCTTCCATCAACCGGTGGATTGTCCCTTGGGCCTTGTCTTCTGGGGAGCGTGAAAAACTATCCCGTATGCAGGTTCCGCAGTCTATGATGCTTCGAACTTCATAGTACGGTGCTCGAGACATTATGTGTCCAAGTGTATCACTTGACGCTGGTTCGGTGACAACATTGACCTCCAAGTTCGACGTCCCTCAGACTGGTCTATGCCTGGCGTGAGTAAGTTTCTGCCATCACGAGAAAGAATGAACCACTCAGACTAAAGACAACAACACTTGAGGTGAGAGGAACTAGCGTACCAGAAATGGATTGAAGAACCCTGTCCGGCCCGGGCGAGAGGCGGTTCAGGTGTCGAGCTGGACTGGGGTACAGCACATGTGGCTTCGTAAGAAGGGCCGTCTGGATGAATGTTCGGCAAAAGACAGATGATATTAACCATGTTCCTCTCATTGGTTGACAACGTCAAGAGAACTATTAAAGGCAAAGACCGATCGCAGGGCGAGATGGGTCTAGGTGCTGAGGGTGTGTTGGTGTAGGGGAAGTGCGGAGACTGGGGAAAGCTCACCTACTTCAGCCCACTGCTTAACTTAAGCCGTGAGTAATAGACAGGCTACCAACAGTCGCAACTGGTGGTGGTGGGCAAAGGGTGTCAATTGGGCTCGTTTAAGACTGATCATGCGGGTGTGAGGCACAGGATGCCTTTAGCGAAGCGAATTAGGTGACGACCATCGTTCGACGGAGGTTTTCAATCGGCGAATGTCAATGTTGAACGGTTGCAACTCAATAGTGACCGCTAGTTCTCCAGGAGACTGCTTTAGAGTGGATAAGTTTGTCTGTTTGGACGCATGTGTTGGCATTCCAGCCATCGATTGCTGGGCTAATAAGACCATGTTGCGACCTAGATGATGGACGTGTGTGCTCAACACCTAGAGGGTTTCAGATTGACCTTTGTGCATTGCGTTTCCGGTTCTTGCGGTAGTTTGTATGATGGGACCTGACAAAATTCCTTCCCCCAATCTTGATTTCTCGGAGTAGGGAGGTTTCGGGTTTGTAATTGCCTCTATAGATCCCAGCAACACTCCATGAAGTATAGGACAGCCCCTCTGCGTAAAGGCTAGCCAGACCTCTGATCAAGAGCCATCGAAGTATCGATACATGCAACGTTGGGCGACTCCACCATTGGAGCTGATGGATGCATACTTTTTCTGTCGTTGGAGTTTGGATTTGTCGCCTGAAATCATCTTGTGAGTCCTTCGTGGCTATTCTTCCATTGCGGACGCCGATTCCAATCATTCTACGAGCAACGATCGAGAGGCTTCAAGGGGCTAAGACCCAGGACGGTATGCTGGCGCTGTTTGTCTTCGCGTGATTATGCGGCCTACATTTCCATGGAGAAAAGCGGGAGGGCCATCAGTAGCGTTAGTGGTTGGAGGAAGCGCCTCCGCGGAAGTCAGGGCCGGTATCTGACAGGTACTTTGATACCCATCTGGACTAGTTTGCCTAGGTTTCTGATGTTCCTGAGACGATCGTAAGTCGTATTGTCACAGACTTTGTTACTTTGATTCAGTCTCCAAGCCGAAGTTTGACCCAAGAAATAGGAGCTGCGCTACCGGATGGGATCTGAACTGATCTCAACGAGAAGACGGAACTCAGCAGACCACTTACTGCTGACGTCGTGGACTTTCTCCTCCGGACCTTGCATATCGGCACCACTGGATCTTTGTAAGCCGATTGGATAGACGATGACTATAGAGGAGGATACATTGTCTGTTTGCCCGATCTGATAGGACGTACGTTAAGTCGGCTTCCGATGATCGCGGATGGAATCTGCTCAAGGCGTACTGAATGCTTGTGATGGTCGAGTTGGCAACAATCTGCAGTTGATCACGAAGAGTTCGTGATCTGCGCGGCTCGCTTGCTTTGGCTCCGCAAGCTTTGCGAGGCGCGAATCAATCTAAACTCGGTTGCCAGTTGTCCGACAGATACACAAGCATTGGCGCGAGCCCTCGTCAGTCAACCTTGTGGAGTCTTGCAGATCCGTACCGAGGGCCGTCCTGTCCTCGAATGAATCTTAGTCCCAGCCCGTCGTCGTGTCTAAGCTTGCCAGTGTCCTATGGCCCCACCGACAATGGCAGTCGGAAGCATGGCACGATGCTTCCAAATCCGGGGAAGCCCACCGCGACTGACACTTTCCCTGGACTCTAAGCTCAGGTCCACAGCACTAGGCTGAACGGCTGCTGGGAACATGCCGCCGGACTGGAGTAGTCTAGCGCGGACTTGAGAATCTAATGCGCGGTTGTTTTTTGCGTAGGCATCCCGGCAGCCGGCGACTTGGATTACGGCACCATTCAAATGAAAACTCTGCTGCCTTGTCTTGCCTCGTCGCACCCTCTTTCTGAGGAGTCGGTGGTGTGAGAAGCGGTTGCATGTTGAGGGACCCCAAGTCTGTATACTCTGGTTAGAGCCTGGCCAATTTAGCCAACGGCGAGATTTGCGAAGCGGTTGGCCGAAGTCCTAGGCGAAACGGCAGACGACGCCACCTTAGGCGGTCCCAAGTCCACGGGAGGGCAACAGCGCCGGGTAAAGTCGATGCATGGAGTTTACCCCGTGAACTGTCAGCACGAAGAAATGGGCCATGCGGTGTTTGGGGGTGTGGACGGAGCCAACGCAGCGGAAGGATTGTCGTGGTCGTGGGTGTGTGGTGGGATGCAGACGACAAGTTGAGGTTGGTTCGAGGAAGACGAAAAGATTTGGATTTGGCAACACTTCCAATAACCACTGCCCATCCTGCTGAATTTCGGGCCTTCTGGCTATGGCCAAGACATGGAAGGGAGTTCTTGCTTTCCCGTCCGTTAGTAGCATGCCTTAGTCTGTGCTTCCTCGGGCAGCTCTTCCCTCTTACCTGATCTTCCTCATCTTGCATGTCTTCCCATCACGGCTTGGCTCTTCTTTCTTTAGATTTCCATGGACCGTGGTTCCTATGGTTTGACACAGCCGTGTCAGCATTCACAGGAGAAATCGCCTGCTTAGAACGGATCATCCACCAGCAAGCTATCGTCTCAACTCTTCCCCAATCACGTACGGCCCAATGTTGTTGACACATCTTGGTGTCTATTCTCTGAGCTAACTAACTACGTGCAATATTGGTATCTTCTGCGATTATGCCTTCCGACTGGCAAAAAACAAACAATCCTGTGGCCTTCCTTAGGTATCCGAAACTCCATTTCCTCACGCCAAATGGCCTCTCCCAAATGTGCCAATCAGCCACATGATCTCTCTGGCCACAAGATCAGACCCAACTGCGATAGTCGAACATTTCAACAAACGGGCTTCACCCCTTTGTCAAACAACAACCATCGACTGACTCCCTTGACATTGTAGTCGACCTGCGGCTCAAACTTCCAAGAACTTTGCGAGCTAGCAATCATAACGATCACCCCAGCAAGACATGTTTGACGTCTCAACATCCTCCGTCCAAATCCATGGTCTCGGCAAAAGACTCGCCGTAAGCCTCGAATGCGTCTCTACCCTGCGAAGACGACCCAAAAGCGCCCTCCAACTCGTTGGTCGTGATCGAGTCGAGAGCCTTCTTAAACTTCTCCAGCTCGTTCTTCAGTCTCTCCCTCTTGCGCGCGGTCGCTTCATCCTCTTCCATCAGGCGGGCAAATACAGTCTCGTCACGGCCACCGATGAGACCGAGATTGTTCTCGAGGAAGAAGTCGAGATCCTGAACGATCTTCGGCATCATGCGGGACGTGACCGACAGACAGACCGTGTCGGCGAAGCGGAGAGCAGACAACATGTAGTAACCTCGGACGTAGGCTGCCACCCTCAGTTCCTTATCAAAGGTGTCTGGGCCCATCTTTCCAAGTTCGACGTTATGCTTCCGCTCCTCGTTCATGCGCTGCTCTGGCGTCATATGGTCCCAATCGTGGAACTCGTAGGAATCTCCCGAGAATGCCTGCCAGCGCATAACGTGGCGGTAACGCGTGAGTACCCGACTCTCAGAGCGTTCATAATCTTGGAACGCCTTTTGATTGACTGTGAAGAGCTGGAACGTCTCCATGTCGTAGATGTCCTTGAGAAAAGACATTGCCTCGCTACGACGCTCTCTCAGGAACTCGTTCATAAGGTTGGTTGACTTCTTGAAGATCAATCGCTTCATTAGAGTACCAAAAGCCTGGCTCAGGGCGTAGTCGACGATTCGTTGGAGAACATTCATAGTCTCTTGCAGGAAGGTTTCCATGGGCTGGTTCCAGGCCTTTACGGCTTGCTTGCATAGATCTTCATAGACCTCGTCAGGCACAATACTAGGCATGCCTGCCTTGGTCTTGGCCTTGATGTCTTCGCGAATCTGCGCCAGTGTCCGAAATCCAGCGCCATGGTTAGCGTACCGTTGGAACGGCGGGGCCAGAGGCATTGGCTGGGGTGGTCCTCTGCGAGAAGGTGTCGATGGCGCCGGACCACTGTCTTCTGTCTTGATGGCAGCCGAGAAGGAGCTACTGGCATTGACGGTTGGTCGGGCTCGTTTGGCGGCTGATTGTTGATGGGCGTAGCCGCCACGCTTTCTGTTGGAGGGGGTAACATACGAACTGTCGTCCTCGTCATCAGAGATTTCAAGAACAGGAATGTCGGACTTGTCCTTCAGTATGAACTTGGGCTTCATCTGAAGTATACAGTCGCGGAAGCTGTCCGAAAGAGATCCGTAGTTAGAGGAAAACTTTCTACCACGAAGAGTCTCCTTGACAGTGGAGGAGAACGCCATCAAGCTCTTCCGAACTTCCAACTCAACATTATTGGGCAACTCGGGTAGCGTGCTGAGCTCAGCTTCGATCTCACTGAGTCTGCTTTGCACCTTGTGCTTGATTGAGGGCAGGCTGGAAAACGTCAGTATCTCGTCAAGGTATAAGTGATAGGCAAGTGGGGTAGAAAACTTACTTCTTGGCGAATTCCTTGCCCAACTTCTCCGAAAGAGCGATCTTGAGTTTCTCCACGCCACATCGCTCGCGGAATGGATGAAACTCCTCTGGCCAGCGTTCACTAGCATCTTGGTGGAAGAATCCCTCCTCCCATCTCTGCTGCTCGTCGAGCTTCTGGTTCGACGGCCTTGACGTGATGAAGAATTCATGACCGATCTTGTGCGCCTCGCCACGGAGCATTGACAGCCACTGACTATTGTTGCCTTCAGGGAGAAGATCAGCCTTTGTCATGACTCCAATTGTCCGTTGCTGAGCCTGGAGAACACGAATGATTGACAGAGTCGAGGACGTCTCCGGGTCGACGTTCATTGGCACAGCCCAGATGATGAGGGCTTCAGAATGGGAAATGTACTCGCGTGCCAGGTTCTCTACCACCGACACAAGATATTCATCTTCCTCGCGTGCCGCGTTGCGGAAAATGCCAGGCATGTCGTAGAAAGATAGATCAGGCAGGTCCGGGCCTTTGATCTCCAAGGCGACCGTGTTGGGGCTGAACTTGGCGAGAGTTCTCTCGGCCTCGTCGTCCAACAAGAACTGCTTAGTGATGGCGCCTGATCCGGGAACGTACAGCTCGTGGTTTTGATCATGGTTGAGGATTGCGATCTGAGCCCACTTCAACACGGTATCGATGTCGGATTGATCGTAAATCGTCATGAATTCCTTGACCACTCGCGCCTGCTTCACCCATGGTGGGAACGGGTTCTCCGGGGTGACGTCGGCCTTCGTGAGGAAGTGATTGGGAGGCTTGAAGGCGTAGTCCTGCTGAAGAGAGACACGGCAAGACCACTGAGGACCGCCACGGTCGCGAGGGCCACTCCGGGAAACGCGAATGTGGACGGGGCAACGAGTACAGACGCCTTCGCTGCGAGGGAGGTTGAGTCCGGCAAGACCAGACATCAAGCTCGATTTTCCGGCAGACTGATCGCCGACTAGGACGAGCTGAGGAAGTGCGACATCGTGGGAGACGCCAAGCTGCTGTAGCTCACCGAGAGTATCGTTGAAGATCTTGACCTTGGCGCCTATGTCCCGGAAGGAGCCATCGAGAAATGAATCGCTCTGCATGGGGATCACGGGCGGATCCATGTCTCTGTTTCTGACTTGGAGCAGAACAGGTTCACTTTCGTCAAAAGTTGGGTTCGTAAGCGCACTGCGGACAGTTTGGGGGGCAGTGTAAGCGCCGTGAGGGGCGATAGAAGGCGTGGCTGTACGATGATTAGATGTCGAACTTGAGAAGCTGGTAAGTAGAAGAGAAAAAATTACTTACGGGCGTCTGATCTCAAGAATGATTGATTGACATCCGCAGGCCCAGCATGGTAAGAGCGGGATTGATTTCTGTTAGCCTCTTGGGAGCCGTTGTAGGTGTTGGTGAGGGAAGGTGTAGGAGAAGTATTCTGATGATTGCCAGGCTCTGGCTTGACGGTATGACCTCTCGAAGCTCTTGCCTTTGTCATTTTGAGTGAGGAAGGAGGATGAGAGGAATGAGAAGAGGAAAGTTTTTGAAGGCAAAGTAGAGGGTCGATGAGGAATATACTCCCAGGTGGAAAGGTACCTCAAAGAACGGCAAAGGGTCAATTGACGACCCAACCCAGCTCTAGGCAGCACAAAAAATGAGTGAGAGAGAACTGAGTGAGAAGCAAGAGAAAGAAGTGAGAGGTGAAGTAAAATTGTAAGGTAAGGTAAGGTGAGGTGTTGAAGCTGAAGCTGAAGCTGGATATCAAGCAGGTGAAGGGAAGGAGCTCTGGGGAGCTTCAAAGCTTTAAGAGCTCTTTCCTCGTTTGGGTGACCTGAGCAACCACAAGTCCCGCTCTCCTAGAGCTCTCATTAAAGTGGTTGTTAGTGTTAGGAGGGACATGGGAAGGTACGACAGCGTGTCGCTTTTTCGCGCTCTAAAAGGCGATGTAGTTGGGTTTTAGTACCCCAATGTTGTCTCTAGCATATGGAAAGAGCTCTCCCATGTTTTCCAATATTTCCATCGATGTTATGTTGGTGATATCTCACTATGTTGTTTGTGATGCCAGGTAGCTGCTATCGTGAATTATTGGGGATTGGAGCGGACGAGGTGCATCGTCGGTCTCCCAGCAGGCAGGGATGTCAGGGACCTCAGGGGCGCAATATTCGAAAGGAAAGGCTGGCAGTGGAGCTTGGCCTCGGCGATCCCCTGCGAAGGTAGAGAGACGCGACTTGGTACTTCCTTAAGCTGTCCCAGATGCACAGCTGTCTGCCAGATTTCGCCCAAGATGAGTGCATCTTCACCTGGTCAACCAAGTCACTGCTCACCATTCAGGCACCACATTGTCGCGTGTGCTGCCTGCTTTACACGTCCTCGACACGCTCAGGTACCGACGCGTAAATTGATTTCATGAATGTCAATTGGAGAAGCTTCCTGCAAGGTACCTGCGACCTCTTACATGATTCCAGCTTCCACGCCAATCGGTCGATAACGTTGTCTTACCATGCTTGCCGTGTCATGCCATGGCATCTGAGTGTTGCAGGTGAATCATCTACAGCAGCCTTTCAGGTCCTACCTAGTCTGTTCAAATAGATGCTGCCTGCCTTTTATCCTCTGGAGGTGTCCATTGAGAGCACTTTCATATATCTGGCTTGAATATTAGGTAGACAGAAAAAGAAATGTTTGGCTTCACAAAGGGACACGAATGAGACGTTGAGCTTGTCGCATGTGTTCCTGGGCCACCTCACCTCACCATGAACTACCTTAAGGTACCTTATTTCAGTATTTCTTATCGATAGCCTGGAGACCACCTGGCGGGAGGCTCCTTCCTGCCACGCAAGGGAATCCAGTCCACCCCGCAAAGGGTCCTGAGCAGTAAACAGGTACCCCCTCCATCCAGGCAAAATACGTGCCTCACAAAGTCCCTCAATAACAACAAGAAGCCCCCCGCAGCCACATCTACAAACGACACGAGCCACCTGGTGACCCTCCTCCTATCGTTAGACCCCTGCCAACACATGCATTGTCTGCTCTGAATTTATTCTTGGGACCTCACAAGGTTAGGTTGGGTGAACACTTTCTCAGGGGGACCCCCTTCCAAAACTCACGAAGCGGTGACGTTGCAAATAGCGTCTTCAATTCCGCACCTCAGCTACCTACCTTACCCAAGTCTGTACCGGGTATCTCGACTTCTACCTGAGTCTTCCTTCCCTTCCCTTTCTCAACTCCACAACCTGAGATACCCATCCCACTCAAACCATGTCGCTGCAAGTCCCCTACCGTGGAAAGGCACCCAGAGAGGGTGCCACCAAGGCCGTCATTCTGGTAAGACCATCTGCTTTATGGTGTTTTGCGCGTCGCTTTATTGTGCGGCGCGTGCATCCCCAAAATCTCAAAACCCCGCCTTGCTTTCTCCCCCTCCCTCACAAAGCTCATTGTCTTCTGCAAACGGTCGCAAGCTAACCAGAACCTTCAAATCTTCAGGTCGGAGGTCCCTCCAGAGGAACTCGATTCCGTCCTCTTTCCCTCGACGTCCCCAAGCCCCTCTTCGAAGTCGCTGGTCACCCCATCATCTGGCACAACTTGGCTGCCATTGAGCGAGTCCCCGGCAAGGAGATCACAGAGGTCCTCATTATCGGCTACTACGACGAGTCCGTCTTCCGCGACTTCATCAAGGACGCCTCCCACGAGTTCCCCAATCTCTCTATCAAGTACCTCCGCGAGTATGAGGCCCTCGGCACCGCAGGTGGTCTCTACCACTTCCGCGATGCTATCCTCAAGGGTCACCCCGAGCGCCTCTTCGTCCTGAACGCCGACGTCTGCTGCTCCTTCCCTCTCCCCGAGATGCTCCAGCTCTTCCACGACAAGAACGCCGAGGCCGTCATTCTGGGTACGCGCGTCTCTAATGAAGCCGCCACCAACTTCGGTTGCATCGTCAGCGATGCCCACACCCGCCGTGTCCTCCACTACGTCGAGAAGCCCGAGTCGCAAATCAGCAACCTGATCAACTGCGGTGTCTACCTCTTCTCCACCGACGCCATCTTCCCCTCCATCAAGACCGCTATCAAGCGCCGTACCGATCGTCCTTCGCGTCTCGTCTCCTACCCGAGCTCCGAGAACCTTGAGAACAGCTTCATCATCACCGACGACGATGAGGAGCGCAAAAACGAGGTCATCCGCCTCGAGCAGGATATTCTCGGTGACCTCGCCGACACCAAGCACTTCTTTGTGTACGAGACCAAGGACTTCTGGCGTCAGATCAAGACGGCTGGCTCAGCCGTCCCTGCCAACGCCCTCTACCTGCAGAAGGCCTGGCAGAACGGCTCCAAGGAGCTCGCCCAGCCCAGCGCTAACATCATCCCTCCCGTCTTTATCCACCCTACCGCCACCGTCGACCCCACCGCCAAGCTGGGCCCCAACGTCTCCATTGGACCCCGCGTTCATGTCGGGCCTGGTGCCCGCATCAAGGAGTCCGTCGTCCTCGAGGACTCTGAGATCAAGCACGACTCGTGCGTCCTGTACTCTATCATCGGCTGGGGAAGCCGCGTCGGTGCTTGGGCCCGTGTTGAGGGTACCCCCACCCCCGTCGGCAGCCACACGACGAGCATCATCAAGAACGGCGTCAAGGTTCAGAGCATTACCATCCTGGGCAAGGACTGCGGTGTTGGTGATGAGGTCCGGGTCCAGAACTGCGTGTGCCTGCCCTTCAAGGAGTTGAAGAGAGTGCGTCTGCCCCAACTACCATCAGTCTTTCATATTACTGACAATCATATAGGATGTTTCAAACGAGGTCATTATGTAAATTGACAGGTTTGGGTTATGTTGGATGCGGTGGGGATAACGGACGACGTAATGAAGAAAGGATTTGCATTGGGGTCAGATAGAGCTCCATCACTCTTCATAGATGCATGCGTCTTTGGTCACAAAAAGCACAAGTCGAATTCAGCAATCCAGAACATTTCAATGTGCCACTCAGCCTTCTACCTGACAGTGTGATGAACCTAGAGAACCTAACAACACACTATTGGGGTACCCTGTTTAACCCAATAGCTCGGACAGTGAATGAGTGGTTCACTCAACCAAGTTCCTGAATGCCTCAAGACACTGCCACCTGGGATGCCTCAGGTAGAGCTTCCACATTCACCGCCCAACATCCTTATGAGGAGTGATTCATTATCAATCCTCAACAACAAGTCCTGGGCCGTATGGTCGAGGGGCGAAGGCCGTGAAGTGCTGACTGGGACAGTGATTCTCCTGTTCCTTTCAGGACTCCTGCATTCAACCCTCGGTCGGTCCCCCTTTTTTTCACTTTTTCAGATTTTTAGTCATGATAAGATGACAAGTAAAGTATCTCAGTGTTACCTTACACTGCTGGTCTTCTATCTTTGTTTATTCGTTCTAGGTCATATGCAGGCAAGGTCTAGATGACCTCATTTCAAGCTACCGATGGCCGGTCCCATCTTGTGCAACTTACTAGATTGAACAGAGGAAGATATCAGGTTGCCAATTGCCTCCTTCCGACAACGGAAAACGCTCAACGCCGAGTGCCACTTCCCCTTTCAAGATGCCTTACTCTCGAGACCTGATGCAAAATTTCCCGTTGGATGACCGTTACCTCAAGAAATACTGAGTATCAGTCTTGTGTGTAATGAAAGGTACGGTGATTCTCTCTCGCTCCTTCCTCCGACAGAATTACTTTCCTCAGGTGATCGATCCGCGTTAGCTTTTGACGTCCCCATCTCTCCTCCTATCTTGCCCCAATCCTCTCCGACACTTCAACAACTACCTACCTCACCTAACCACTCCCCTTTTTCAATCCATCAATTTTCCTCGTCTTACTTTCTTCACTCATCCCATCCACAAACTCGTTGGATTCTCTCATTTTCAGGTTCCGGCGTTGGCAAAATACCAAACCTAGCAAAAGCAGCATCCAAGCGTGCCATCATGGGCAACGAGAAAGGACCCAAGAAAATCCTCATGCAGAGGGGCTTCAACTTCCCTCCTGGCCCGATGTTTCTTGGCAGAGAGACCGTCCACCTCGTCTTGACGGCATTCTTCGGAAGTGGTTGGACCTGGGCCAACAGCAATGTCAACGACATGATCGCCTTGACCAGAGAAGCCGGAGCCTGCCTTCTGGGGATCTTCCACACTCTCGTTGCTAGAGCTGACCTCTACGGAGCTCTTCGTGGTCATTTTGCGTTGTACGCGACCGTTGCGACCGAGCTCAAGACCAGAGGCGAACTCAGTGGCGACGCACTCAAGGATATCGACGAAGTTTACGTGCGCGCCCGTCGTGGCGACCCGGGCGAATGGCTCAAAACCGATCTCAACATGGTTGTAGATGCTTGGATCTCAGTCAAGGATACAATTGCGACTCTTCCGCCCCTTCAGGCCTTGTCCCTCACGGCCAGCCCCAACGAGATGGGTGTCCTCACGCCTCATTTCCAGAGCGCCAGCGTCGCCGGACCCGCAGAGAACAAGCCCTGGTCTCCTGCTCACTTC